CCCCGGTGTCCCCAGCCCCCCCGGTGTCCCCACCCCCCGGTGTCCCGGTGTCCCGTACCGGAGGGGCTCGGGGCAGGGACACTTCCCCTCCAGCATGTCACACACGGCCACGCGGATGGTCTCGTGCCGGATGCACTCGTTGTAGTTCTTGCTGTCCCCGGGGTGCCGCTCCTGGGGACACAGGGGTGAGGGCAGGGCCCGGCCTGGCCAGGCCTGGCTGTGCAGAGCCCGGCCTGACCCTGCAGAGCCCGGCCTGACCCTGCAGAGCCCGGCCTGACCCTGAGAGCCCAGCCTGACTGTGCAGAGCCAGTTCCAGGCTGCAATCCCAGTTAATTCCAGGCTGACATCCCAATTGATTACAGCCTGCAATCCCAGTTACTCCCAGCTCAGTTCCCAGTCCCTCCCAGCTCAGTTCCCAGTCAGTCCCAGCTCAGTCCCCAGTCCCTCCCAGCTCAGTCCCCAGTCTCTCCCAGCTCAGTCCCCAGTCAGTCCCAGCTCAGTCCCCAGTCCCTCCCAGCTCAGTCCCCAGTCCCTCCCAGGTGTCCCCAGTCCCTCCCAGCTCAGTCCCCAGTCCCTCCCAGCTCAGTCCCCAGTCCCTCCCAGCTCAGTCCCCAGTCTCTCCCAGCTCAGTCCCCAGTCAGTCCCAGCTCAGTCCCCAGTCCCTCCCAGTCAGTCCCAGTCCCTCCCAGCTCAGGCCCCAGTCCCTCCCAGCCGGGCTCTCACCTGCTCGAAGCCGGGCTCGTTGTGGTACGGGTTCTCGGTCATCAGGGACTGGATGGAGATCAGCACTGACGAGATGCTCTGCGCCGGGCTCCAGGCCGGGCCTGTCCACGTGCTGGGCCAGCAGGGCACGCACACACCGATTAACGAACTCGTTAATTAACCAGCAGCACCGTCCCCCCACAGCCGAGCCAAAAATCCTGGGCTGCACAGCTGGGACTGACCTGGGCCGGACCTGGGCCTGGCCTGGGCCTGCCCTGGGCCTGGCCTGGGCCTGGCCTGGGCCTGACCTGGGGACCTCCCCTGGCACAGCCTGAACTGTCCTGTCCTGTCCTTCTGTCCAGCTCAGCTGGCCCCAGCCTTACCCCAGGCCCAGCTTACCCCAGGATGCTGAGGCAGACCCCAGGCCAGGCTTACCCCAGGATGCTGAGGCAGACCCCAGGATGCTGAGGCAGACCCCAGGCCCGGCTT